ATTTCACCTCAATGATTGCAATCCCTCCATCCCCCCACCCTACCCCCAGGCAACAACAACAGGTATCCTGCTTCCTCCCTGTGGTTCCTGTTTCCATCATTCCACCTTCCTTCCCATCCCTTCTCAACTTTGTCCTTAGGCAAATGCTGCCCTTTTGATCTTGAATGGTTGACCATTCCTTGGTGAGCTTACCTTACTATACACCTATCTACTGCTTGGCTGAAAACTGGACCATGAAGGTGCGTTCCGTACCAGACCTGAAGGGTGGTCGAGAACCATAATCTTCGGTTCCTCCAGTCTCTTTCTGATCAGTAAGCCTGGACTTTGTTTATATAATTTTTCATTTTTGTTGCACATTTTCTACCTCTCTACCCAGGACCTTCTAATGTGATCCCTTTCAGAGCAGTTGGTAGGGGTAGTTCTTCTGGTCTTAGTTCTTCTGATGTTTACCTGCGCCACTGGTCCATTGGACTAGTTGATTCCAAACATCAATTTTTATCACTCTTCTTTCTTACACACATGGATAGACCAATAGTTTCAGCTTAGATGGCCACTCATGAGCTTTTATGGTCCCAGATGCTACTCACCAAAGTAAGATGTAAAACACTGTCTTTGTGGACTATGATATGCCGGTTGACCATGGGATCCCCTGAGACCACAGTTCTGAGCACTCAAGCACACCAACTCATTACCTTAAGATGTTGTTGTTGTTGTTAAGTGTCGTCGAGTCGGTTCCGACCCATAGCGACCCGTACAGGGTTTTCGAGGCTATAAATCTTTACCGGAGCAGAACGCCTCATCTTTCTCCTGTGGAGCTGCTGGTAGTTTCGAACTGTTGGCCTTAAGGTTCGCAGCCCGATTCGTAACCACTACGCTATCAGAGCTCCTTTACCTTAAGATAATAGCTAAGAAGTTTTCATCATTTTGCCCCTTGTATGCATCACCTGGTGTGGCATTGTGGGAGGGATAAAACATTGGACTGAAAGGTTGGTTTGAACCACAAGGTCAATAGTTCAAGCTCACCAGCCACTCCTCAGAAACCCTATACAGAATCACTATGAGTCAGAACCAACTTGACAGCACTTAACACCAACAAGGCTCCACCACATTCATAGGTGTGTTTGCAGCAAAGGTAAATACCCATGTACACATATCCTCTTTCAAACCCTTACATATGTGTAAGTATATTTCCATTCTCCTTCCCATACACGTTCAACCTGTACATCTGTCCATGTACCTACAGAACACGGTTGTTCCAGGGTTGTGTATACAGTGCTATTTACCTCTATCCCTTTAACCCTTGCAGACCTTCCTGTGTCTTCACCTGTCAGTCTCACGCTTCTTGTATATTCCCCTCTCCATCTCCCTAGTTAACATGTGTCAGCCTGCTCCTCAGAAACCTGATACAGGGTCACTATGAGTCGGAATGGACTCAACGGCACTTAACAACAACAATAACCTTTTAGTTGAAGAATTACTCTCTTTCCCTTCCACCCCTGGTAACCATTAAAGAATGTTTCTTTTAGAATGTAAACCTTTTCTTGAGTTTTTACAATAGTGGTTTCATGCAATATTTGTCCTTTTGTGATTGACTAATTTCACTCAACATAATGTCCGCCAGGTTCATCCATGTTATGAGGTATTTCACAGATTCATTAGTATTCTTCAAAGTTACATAGGATTCCACTGTATGTATACACAAAAGTTTATCCATTCTTCCATTGATAGGCATTTAGGTTGTCTTCATCTTTTTGTTGGAGTCCTGGTGTGGCATTGGAGGCTAATGCGCTGGACTGCAAAGTCAACTGTTTGAACCACAAGGTCAGCAGTTCAAGCTCACCAGCTGCTGCTCAGAAACCCTATAAAAGGTCATTATGAGACGGAACCCACTTAACAGCACTTAACAACAATCTTTTTGCTTTTGTGACTAATGCTGTGATGAACATCGGTGTGTATATATCTACTTGTACTCTGACACTTGGTTAGTTCTTGTGGATATATACCAAGTAGAGAGATTGCTGGGTCATATGGTATTTCTATTTCCAACTTTTTGAGGAAGTGCCATACAGTTTTCCACAGTGGTTGCATCATTTTACAGTAACACTGGAAATGTAGAAGGATCCCAGTCTCTCCACACCCTTGCTAGCATTCACTGTTTTCTGTTTTTTGTTTTTTTTTTAACTTTGCTATAAATACTGGGGTGAGAGGATGTCTCATTGTTGTTTTGGTTTGCATTTCTCTAGTAAGGAGCTCTGGTAGCATAGTGGTTACGAATCAGGCTGCTAACCTCAGAGTCAGCAGTTTGAAACTACCAGCTGTTCCATGGGAGAAAGATGAGGCTTTCTGCTCCCATAAAGATTTATAGCCTGGGAAACCCTGTACAGGGTCACTATGAGTCAGAACCGACTCCACGGCACATAACAACAACAACAGTGGGCTAATGCATCAGACTGCAGTTGTTTGAACTGCAAGGTCAATGTTCAAGCTCACCAGCCACTCCTCAGAAACCTTATACAAGGTTGCTATGGGTCAGTAAAAACTCAATGGCACTTCACAACAACAACAATGACTAATGGGGACTCCTGGTGTGGTGCTGTAGGATCAACACTGGACTGTGAACCACAAAATCACTAGTTCAAACCCACTAGCCATTCCTAGGAAGCCCTATGCAGGGTCATTGTGGGTCAGAATCATCTCAATGGCACTTAACAACAACAATGACTAATGAAGTCATGGTGTAATGTTGTAGGATAAGCACTGGATAGCTAATTGCAAGGTTGGTGGTCCAAACCCACCAGCTGCTCCTTGGAAACCCTACATAGGGTCACTATGAGTCAGAACCAACTCAATGGCACTTAACAACAACAACAATAGCTAATGATCATGAACAATTCTTCATATGTTTGTTGGCCACCTGAATGTCTTCTTTGGTAAAGTATCTGTTCACATCCTCTGCCCATTTTTTTTTTAATTTCCTTCCCTCACTTATAGGTCTCGACACCAAAGGCAGCTTCTAATGGTCACCTTATTTAAAATGTCAACCCTTGCCAACATTTTATGTCCTCTTTTCCAGGCTTCCTTTTTTTCTTTTCAGCACTTGTCACTCCTTCACATACCATTTGCTTATACTGTCTCTTTACTCATTATTCAGTTCCTAATGGTACCTGAAGGAGCCCTGATAGCGTAGTGGTTACGAATCAGGCTGCGAATCTCACAGTCAGAGGTTCGAAACTACCAGCTGTTCCGTGGGAGAAAGATAAGGCTTTCTGCTCCCGTAAAGATTTATAGCCTCAGAAACCCTGTACAGGGTCGCTGTGAGTTGGAACCAACTCCATGGCACATAACAACAACAACAATGGTACGTGGCAAATAGTAAGTTCATAATGAATGAACCGGAGTCCTGGTGTGGCGCTATGGGCTAATGCTCCAGACTGCAAAGGCGTTTGAACTGCAAGGTTGGCAGTTCAAGCTCACCAGATGCTCCTCGGAAGCCCTCTACAGGGTTGCTATGGGTCAGAACCGACTCCACGGCACTTCACAAAAACAACAATGAATGAACCAAACACCTACTGTAAGCTAGGTACTAGCTAGGATGTGTTCTCTCATATGACATGGTAGCCATCTTTTTCCCCAAGGAAAAAGTTAGCATGCTCATTTTTCAAATGTGGAAAATGAAACTCACAGAATTTGCACATTTATTTCAGGTTACATGGTTAATCAGGGGAGGTTGGCTAGTTGGTTATGTGCCATGGAGTCAGTTCCAACTCACAGCGACTCTGTATACAATTTCCGAGACTGTAAATCTTTACGGGAGTGGGAAAGCCTTATCTTTCTCTCCTAGAACAGCTGGTAGTTTCAAAGTGCTGACCTAGATAGAGGTTAGCAGCCCAACTGGTAACCACTATGCTACCAGAGCTTCTTAATCAGGGGAGAGAGGAGCTAAAATTCTAACCCAAGTACAACAGACTCCAAAGCCCAGGGTTTCCCCATCCATGATATATTGTTTTATAACCAGAGTCTACCTTGCTGTCTATAAAATACGAATTTTAATTTTCTTACTTCTTTCTGCTCAGTGCTACCCAACCCCCAGCCCTGAACCTCTAGATGTTCTAAATGCTCTGAGTATGGGGAAAGGAAGGAAGTTGGGATGAAAGTAGGGGTCTGGAGGCATTTGTAATTTGACACCTGTAAACTGGGGCCTGTTCTTTCAAAGCTGCTTGTGGTGGTGGTAGTTGGTACCGAGCTGGCACTAACTCATGGTGGCTTGTATGTAACAGGTGAAACAGTGCCCAGTCCTAGGCCATCTCCATGGTCACTGGTATATTTCAGTCTATGTGTCAGTCCTTCTCATTGAGGGTTTATTTGTTGTTGTTGTTATGTGCCGTCGAGTTGGTTCAGACACATAGTGACCCGGTGTAGGGTTTCTGAGGAGCGGCTGGTGGGTTTGAACTGCTGGTCTTGTGGTTTGCAGTCCAGAGCTGATCCTACAGTGTATATAGATGCTCACAAAATTGGTGGTGCCATCCTAGCTAACATAGCCCCCTCTTGGACACCTCTATTCCACCATCCTACTAACTTTTTCGTAGCCCAGATCACCACTCACAGTGGCATTATTTACTTGTTGATTACAATTCTCTCTCCTACTAGAGTGTTGAGCTCTTCCACAGCAGAGACTTCAGCTGTCTTATTGCCACTGCCTCTCCATTGCAGGGTCTGCCATAAGGTGGGCACGCCATGCATAATTGTTGAATGAAGGAGCAAATGAACGAAGGGTTCTTACTGTGTTCTCTCCTCATTGTACAGATGGAGAAACTAAGGCCCAGAGAATGGGGAGTGACTAGTCCAGGTTGGCACAGACTAGGACAGGGCATCCTACCTAGCTCAGTCTTGGGCTTTTGCTGCACCACGAAACTTCCCAAAGTTGCTGTTGAGAAAAAGATGGATGTCATTTGAGTGGTGGTCCTTGCTTGAAGAATCACCCTGAGTTCTCTCTGTGGCAGATCCACATCAAAGCCTACCTACATGACCTGGAGCGGGCCAAGATGGGGCTTGGGGGCATGCCTGACAGGAACCACCTGGCCTGTGCCAAGGCTGACCTTGAGGAAGTGGTCAAGGTGTGCCCAGGCCTCAAGACCTACCTGGACATCGGCCAGGTAAGGCAGTCTCTTGGCTTGACTGGTCAGTGGCTAAACAAAAATATACTGTGTCAGGCCAGGCCTGACCATTGAGGACACACAGCAATACCCACCTCCCATGTGAGATCAGAGCTTGGCACTTTCTACATACTCAGCAAGTATGCTCTCAGTAAGCAGTGCCTTCTGTACTCAGGGAACAGCTACCAAAATGGCAACAATATCAGTTTTTGCCCTAAGAAACTGAGGCCCCTAGATTAACTTGCTCAAGGTTAATGGGGCCTGGAACTGGAATTTGAGTAAGACCTCCTTTTCCAGTCACAGATCCTAGGAAGAGGGGAGGGGACAGAGTTTGTGACTGACAGTTTTTGAAGATGGAAGGGTGGGAAGGCTGGAAGGGTGGGAAGAGAGCAGTGACTCCGAGGGAAATTCACCCATCCTTCGCCCCCGCCCCCCACTTCAGGTGTACTACTACATGGGCGTGGACGCAGTGCAGGAGCTGATGGCAGTGGATGAGGCGGCGCTGAACCAGGCACTGGTCTTCCTAGCCAAGGCCAGCGAGTCAGAGTTGGGTGCGATGTTGCCAGAGCTGCAGCTGCTTCGGGGCAAATGTCTGCGTATCAAGGGCGAGGAGGCTAACGCAGCAGCCTGCTTCAAGCGCGCCGTGGAGCTGGACGACGAGGGCTCCAGCCACACTGAGGGCTTCGGCTGCCTGCTTGAGGCGCTGCTGGCACAATGGAGCCAGGCGCAGATGAGCGACAGCGAGCTGGGCAGCGAGGTGGATGTGTGGCTGCGCCGCGCCCAGGGCAAGTACCCGGCTGCGCGCCTGCGCCAGGAACTCCAACGCGTGTGGCGCGGCCACACGGACGAGGTGCTGGGACTGGCCCGCGCCCTAGTAGCGCAGGGCCGGCTGGCGCTGGTGCGGCTGCTCTTCGAGGCCATGGAGCTAGAGGGCGAGGGCACAGCCGAGGGTGCGGCGAGAGGCCACCGGGCACTCTCCTTCTGAGTAGCCGCGCTCCTTGCAGCTGATTGGACCAGGACTGGGTGCTCGAGACAGGCCACCTGGGCGCCCTAGGATGGTGGAAGAGCAGAGGCAATTACGTTCTCTCTCCCGCATTTTGTATGGGGACATTAGACCCCAGAGCTGTTCGAATTGCCCACAGAAGAGGAAGGGACTGGTATAGGACAGCGAAAGAGGCTAGGGTGAACGTGAAAGCCCCCGGGAAAACTGCCACCTCCTGGACAGAAATGTGCAGACATGCTGAGGAAACAAGATGGCTGCAGCTCTCTGGAGACAGAACATAGCTGCTTCCATTGTGGTGGTTGTCTAGTCCCTGTGCTCAATTCCTGGGGCCTGAGTGTCTGTCTGGATCCCCATGAACCACTCTCTATCCTTAAAATAAACTCCCCTTTACTTAAGTTGATGGTCCCTGGATGACACAAGTGGCTTGCCATCAAGTTACTTATCTAAAGTTTGGCTGTTCAAACCCACCCAGACGTGCTGCGGAAGAAAGGCCTGGATGTCTGCTTTTGTAAAGATTACTGCCAAGCAAACCCTATGGAGCAGTCCTACTCTGTCACACGCTGGGTCACCGTGAGTTGGAATCAATTCAAAAGTCAACCATTTGGTTTTGTATTTGTTTGTTGTTTGGCCCAGAACCACGCTCTGGATCTACAAATGGAGAACAGAACAAATCCTTCAGAGACCTCACAGTCTAAACCATACAGAGTAGGTTAGGTATGGGCTGGTGATCAATGGGAAGCTATTGAAAGGTTTGAACTAGCAGAGCTGGCTGCTTCTGCTCATCCACACCTGCCAGACTCATTCTCTATTACTGGCCTTTCCCACCGCCCACTGGGGAGGAGAGCTTGGCTAGCCCGGGGGGGGGCATAGGCTCTGGCCCTTAGACATCCCTCTGCAGTGAGCCAACTGCAAAGGCTAGTCTGGGCAGTCTCCTGGGATTGGGACTCCAACTGGTAGGGGGAAGCAAGGGGGTGGGTGATCTTTATTTAATTACAGCTTTGAGCTCTGCATGACACCATTGCCTACTGGGCCGCTAAGAGGACAACTGTCAAGAAGCTGAAGCAGTAGGAGTTCCTCGGGGGAGCACTCCAGAGTGAAAGCCTTAATGACCCCATAATCAGAGTAATGAAGATGAATCACACCTTGTGCCGCCTGCCCACTCCCTCCTCTAGGTCCAGCAGCCAACACCAGGCAGCTAGAAACTCTCATTTAGCCAGAATGAACAATGCATGTTAAAGACCACAACAACGGTGACATTTCTCAGCTAAAGGTTTCTGGAATCTCAGAGTTGTAAAGCACCTTAGTCATCACCTTTCCTAGCCTCCCTAGCTAGAGCATGAGTGTGTTTTTAAACCATTTGCATGCTTCTAGCCGCAGGCAGCTCACTATCTGATGAGGGAATCAATCCACTGGGAGGGGGAGCTAATATTTTATTGTCACTTAGGTAAAAGTTTATAAAGCAAATCAGTTTCCAAAAAGTCAACAATTTATACAATGGTTGTAATCCCCACAATATTCCCTCCCCATTTCCACTTTGGTTTCCCCATTTCCATTCACCCATTTTCCCCAACCCTTCCTGCCTTCTTAACTTTGCTTTTAAGCAAATGCTACTCTTCTGGTGGAATCAATCTATGTTTGAACAGGCCCTGGGTGGTGTAAGAGGTTTGCGATTGAAGTAAAAGTTGGCAGTTCGAACCCACCTAACTGTTCCTGGGAAGAAAGGCCTGGAGCCAAGGAAACCCTGTGGGACGATCCTACTCTGTAACACATGGGGTCACCATGACTCAGATTCAATTCAATAGCAGTGGGTTTGGGTTTTGTTTTATTTTTAAATCTGAGCTTGTCCTTCTACTGAGCCATGTTCCTCTGGCCCCTGTTGTCTCTTTCTTCTGCGGTACCAGCAGCCAGGTTGGGCTCTGACAGGGCCTCTAGTTGTCGGTCCCAGCCTGGAGTCCGCACAGAAAGGGTGCTAGCAGCTTATTGCACAATAGACATGGCTTCTCCCCATCCCTAATCAGGGCCCAAGGGAGCACCCTGTGTGGATGGTGGTGGCTAGATGCCAAATGAAGTGAAATATCTCCTTTTCTCAGGCTGTTAACTTTTTTCTTGTTTAAGGAATGGGAGGATAATGACATTTAGCACTTTACAACTCAGCAGTAAAACGAGCAGATGGAAACAGATCCCTCCCATCACAGTGAGAAATCCTCCCTAGCTCCATGGGGCCAAAGGCACTGGTAGGGCTTACTGATGGGGTTAGAGACCAGCCTCCTTCCTCCCTCCACTGCATCCCCCCTGCAGGCTACACACCTGACTCCACACCTGCCCCACACTTCCCATTCCCCTGCTTCTGTTACACCTGCCTACAGCACCCTTCCTACTCTCAGGTCCTGTTAGAATACTAACCAGTTCACACACTTGGCTAGTCACCCAAAGGTTGGAAGTTTGAGTCCATCCTAAAGCACCTCAGAAGAAAAGCCTAGGGATCTACTTCAGAAACATCAACCATTGGAAACCCTATGAAGCTCAGTTCTACTCTGACACACCTGGGGTTGCCATGAGTCAGAGCCAATTCAATGGCAACTGGTTAAGGATGTAGACATGGAGAAGTGGAGGAGGGCGGCTCTCAGTGAGAAAGTGGTAAGCAAAGACTTGGAGTCGCAGGGAGGTTCCAGCTGGCCTCCAGGTGACCACAAAGAATAATTTGGACAGGAAAGTTTCATACAAGTGAGGTCATAGAGCATCATTGTCACTATCATCACCACCCAAACAATCTACTGAGTACTTGCTATGGGCCAGTCACTGTGGCCTGTGTCTCATATCTGTTTAACCTTCACAAGCCCAATAACAAGCATCTGAGTCATCCACATTTTACAGATGAGAAAACTAACACTCACAGAAGTTAGGGAACTTTCCTAAAGTCCCACCACACTGATTTGAATGGTCTGTAGACTAAGAAGTCATAAGGAATGTCTTTTTAACTATTTGAAGTTTAGATAACTTTCTCTTTTATCACGTATGTTGCTCTGTAAAATGAACCCTTACAAAATCTGAGTGGATTTTTCATGTTTATGTTTTCAAACCACTTAATAAGTAACTCCATGGTAGGGCTTGTTCTATTTTGGCATGTAAATTGTTTCATTAAACTCCAGCTCCAATGTGAGTTATATCTGTCACCCACAGTCAAAAAAATAAACAAAAGAACTGCCGCTGTGATGGAGACCTATTGTTTTATCTTCCCACTGCCCCCTGCTGGGAAGAACCCCCCCCCCACCTTTGTGAAATAGGAGTCCCTGGGTTGTGCAAATGGTTAAACACTTCCTTGGCTACTAATGGAAAGGTTGTCGGTTCAAATCCGCCCAGAAGCATCTCAGAAGAAAGATCTGGCAATCTATTTCCAAAAGATCACACTACTGAAAATCTGATGGAGCCTATTTCTACTCTGACACACAGGGGGTCACCATGACTCAAAATTGAGTTGACAGCAACTAGCTTGGTTTGGGATTTTGTGTGTGAAGTACCAAATGTCCCTCCTCCCACACCAAGTGGTTATTTAAGGGCTACTAACCATACTGTCCTGCTTCGCTGATCACAAAAGCACACATATGATCCAAGATAACCAATCACAAAGACCTTCCTAGAGGGTTTAGGAACTGAGTTCAAGATAAAGAAAATGTCCTTGGCCTCTCTGCTGGCATAGCTATGAACAACTCATACTAACAACTGTATCAGGAGCAGGTTTAGCTGTGAGCATCAAAGACTTGAAAATGGCATCTTAAGTAAGATGGAGGCTTATTTATCCTGCAAGGCTAGCTCAAATATCACTTCAGTGTCTATAGCAGCAATTTTAACCCGAACCAAAGTTAGAAGAAAATTTGGTGATGTAGTGGTTACGCGCTCAGAAGTTCAAACCCATCAACAGCTCTGAGAGAGAAAGATGTGGCAGTCAGCTCCCGACAACATAATGGCCTTAGAAACCCTATGGGGCGATTCTACTTTACTATAAGCCAGCCTTCATGACAGTGGGTTTGGTTTGGGTACCTGGAGTTAAGGTCAAACTTCACATGTTAAAGGATATAGTCCCCCAGACTGTCAAGTCTGCCTGAGACTTCAGAACCTAGCCACCATGTGTGTACTTCTGGCTACACATTTGGAGGTTCTAACAACCTTGGCGTTGATCATTTGCTAGAACAACACACATAACTGAGGAATGCACTGTATTTATGATAATTATTGCTTTATATAGGCTACAAATCACGATCAGCATAAACAAGAGCTTTATCCTCCCCAAAATATGTGTTGACTTGGCTGAGCCATGATTCTCAGTGGCTTGGCAGTTATGTAATAATGTAATTTGGCAGTTCCGTAAAGATATAATCATCCCCCACAATGCGATCTGTCTGTGAGCAGCTAATCAGCTGTAAGGAAGTTAAGGTGAGATGCAGTACCCTAACTCAGGTCCTTACCTTGATCCCATGTAAGGAGAATGTCCCTGGGATCTGACCCATATCACCTTTTATTGTAAGAGAGAGAAGTGAGCAGAGAAAGGCAGACAGACCTCCATGTCAACAAGAAAGAAGAGCTGGGAGCAGAGCTCATCCTTTGTACCCAGGGTCCCTGTGCTGAGAACCTCCTAGGCCCAGGGGAAGATTGATGCCAAGACGTACAGAGCTCTTCAAGAGATCCTGGGCCCACTGATGTTGAACGGAGACAAGGACCTCCCTTAGAGCTGACAAAGTGAGAAAGCATTTCCCTAGAGCTGGTGCCATGTATTCAGGTTTCTAGCACTGCAGGGTAATGCAACGGACTGAAAGGTCGGTTTGGACCACAAGGTCAGTAGTTCAAACCTACCAGCTGCTCCTTGGAAACTCTAGACAGGGTTGCTCTAAGTCAGAACTGATTCGATGGCACTTAAAAACAGCAACAAACTATGAGAGAATAAATTTCTGCTTGTTAAAGCACTCTACTTGGAGTGTTTCAGTTAT